ATTTTTGTATTAAAGTTTTTTTAATTGATTGATGATTGATTCAATCAACTAATTTGTTGATTGTATTAACTTGATTCTTTAGATATTGAAAATTAAATAAATAACATTATGTTAATTTAAGCGTACAGAAACGTTGCTGTTGTTCCAGCAAAAATCTTATTTTCACTTTACCGAGTGCCTAGTAGGTAATTTGCAGATTACCTAGATAATCTGAACATTACCTAGGTAATTTGAGAAATGGAATAATTTTCCTAGCTTTAACGGATCACCCTAGTTAATATGCAGATTAGCTAGGTAATGCGCACATTAACGGATTTCGAGCTTTAGCGGTAATATATATAACAAAGAACTAAAATAACAATTAAAACAAATACAGAAGTTGTAAGAAAATATTTAAAGAAAATAATATATTCTATATTTTTATTTATGAATATTATGTCCATTCTAAAATCTTATATATTTTCTGAACAAACCTGGCAACACTTAATCCATTATAGAATTTGAAATTAGGCGGTTTGTTATGATGCTAACGAGTGAGAACGTGGAAACTGAGTCGGATTTCGATGCTTCTTTATTGTTTGAAGTCAGTTATTTAGTCAAATATATTAAGTAGCGGTGATTAATTAGTTTTCTATACGTTACAAAGACGTTACTGCTTAATACGAGTTCAAATTTTATTTGACTGATGAGACGTAAAAATGAATTAAAGGTAAACTTGATTAAACAAACTCACAAACAGTTTCTGCAATTATCAATTACAGAAACTTTTGAATCATAAATTAAAAACTTAAATTCCTATAAATGTGTTTGAAATGAAAGCATGATTTGAAGTAGTAAAAATATTAATAATGTTTATTTTCTATTTGGCTGTTATCTAGACACTACAAAGAAGGAATGTTTGCCTATCTACGTACATTCAATATTAGTTTATACAAAGTGGTTCAAAAGCCTGTGCATATAGGCAAAAGGGCAAATATTGAGACGTTCGGTCGGTTGTGTAACTACCAATGAGTGGGCTCGTGTGACGTTTCCAAACGGGCTTTCTGTAATTTTTTTCGCAGACTAATGTGCATAAAATTGTAAAGTGATAAATAATTTATTGGTTTTAAAAATAGCAAACTATGTGTACACTTAGTGCCGTAAATAGTCTTTCATGTGTCCTGTATAACATTTTATTTTTGGCACTTTTTTTTTTGGAAAATAAAAATAAAAAACAAATATGATAGAAATAGTTGTATAACTTTACCCAAAAATATTACTGAATCTGCCTTTGTGGTGGCAAAATTTAAAATGAAAATGTAATAGATTTTTTTTTTTTAATATCCTATTTTGGCATCCTCTTTTGTCCCAGACCTGCACGAATGCATTCTTTCCACTTGTGGCAAATGCATGTAAGCATGTTTGATGTGCATATGCATCACATTTATGTCCCTCTGGGTGTGTGTTTTGTATGGAGACTTGAATCGTTCATTATATTAGAAAAAATTCGGATTGATTTTGAATATCTTGGAAAAAGGATAGTGTTGCTTATTCCACACATTAATTTCATTTGAAAATAGTAGGCTAGGCCAACAAAACAATTTTTGCATTTTTATGCATTTACAGAGCCATTTTATCGTGAAAATGTCGAACAATTTTTTTTTTTTGAAGTGTTTATATTTAACTTAGGCATTGGCCTTTCTTTTTTAATAATGTTTTTTTTTCATCATTTTTCATCTAAGCCAAAACTTTTTAAAAATAAATTTTCAATATCATAATTACATTCTGAATCTCTAGCCATAATATAAGGGCTAAAATTAATCAAACCCATTGTGAATTCTGCTAGGCTCACAATAAAGCTGCAATACAGTGAGGGGCGGGATCCGATATATCCGGATCGGACCACCCCAAAAGTTTCTAGGGATTTTTGATCCGTTCGGATTATTTTCCAGGTCCCTCTTAGCGGTAGGCTGACACCTTAACCGTTCGGCCATCCGGCGGTCAAATCCATATAAAGCTCGAAATCCGTTAATGTGTACATTACCTAGCTAATCTGCAGATTAACTAGGGTGATCCGTNACAGGGGTGGCCAACCTGCGGCTCGCGAGCCACATGCGGCTCTTTGAAGTATTATTTGTGGCTCTCGATAGATGTACCCGAGTTCTCTTTTCATTTTTGTGTTGTTATATTTTAAAAAATTATTATTGTTCCGTATGTGTTTCAAAATGTCTTTTAAATTACTAACAACAAATATGAAAGACTAAGTGCAACGTTGTAACAAATTTCATTTTTGTCCAAGTTAAGAATCATATGACTCATCGAAAACTGCGCGAACGAACATAAACAGTGGCGAAATCGTCTGTTATCAACTGACTCCAGACCGATTTGAATTTGTAAACTGTCATTGCAACGGACAGTTGACATTGTGCTCTGGAGGAAACAATTTGTATCACTCCTGCTACGGATATAATTTGTATTCTGCAATTTTTTGCATACCTTTTTAATACGTATTTAATTGCGGCTCGCAAAAAATTTCAAATTTTGAAAAATGGCTTGGACTATCAAGGAGCTTGGCCACCCTGGGCATATTAGATAAAGTGTGTAGATTCACTCAAAGTTATTTTGATTTTATAAACTTTTTTTTTTCCTACTTTTTAAAAATATGCAGTTGTATTAGCAGAAAATAATCAAATTTTAATTGAAAGCATTTCTTGCAATAAGCTATTTTGGTATTCTCAACTTTATAACATTCAGTTAAAGGTAAATATTTGTATTTAAAATAATTTCAAATATTCCATCCATATATTGTTAGTATGCCAGTAAAGATTTGTAAATTTTACTTGTACAGTACATCTATTGTTGATAGATAGATGAAATTTATTATTGATATTATCAATACAATAAAATTATTTATATATTTTGAAGTATTTTATTTAATTTTACAAAAAAATCTGTTTAGAATGTTACTAAATATTATTTTAAAATTTATTTTACAGGCTAATAATAATAAAAAAGTTTGTCAGTTAACAAACTGGACTATTGTACTACTGAGAGAGGGAGATGTAGCTATACAAGGATTGCATTGGTAATTTAAATGGATTTTATATTTTCATTAAATTAATACTTTTCCATTTGATAAAAATTTTCTAAATAATATTTATGAAGCATTGCAGTTGAGTAAAAAATTTTTTTTTAATTAAGTCATACATCTCATTTTTTTCTACTAATGCATATAAAAATATTTTTATCTTGACATTGACTAATGCTTCACTTTTGATACTGACACAAAAACACCATATGTATTTACTCCAGCAACATTTAATAGAAATTAAACGTTTTCGGCCACATTGAGAAACCTTCCTCCGGTAAAAAAAAATTATTCCACAGATAGAATGTTCAAAAATGAAGAAATGTTCCAAACAGAATATGACATGATTTGAAATTTATATTATAATTAGATAAACACAACACATTATAAGGTTTACATATGATAGGTACAATGTGTTAATATAAATTTTAAAATAAAAGTAAAAATGTTAAAGATATTATAGGAAAACTGATGTCTTTTAGTGTTATGACACACTTTGAAAATCACAAGATAAAATATTGTGTGTTTTGAAAACTACACAATAAAATAAATGATAAAAAACATTATTAACTTTACAGATGACAAATAAATCAGTGTGTAATATAACTTTTAAAAATAGAAACAAAATACTGAAAATAATGTATGAAGTTAAATGAATATAATAGGCTTATGAATTAAGGGTGTACAGAATTGTTCAGAAAGTTCGTAGTAGCTAACAGTTGAGACACTGATTGATGCGAAAATGAATAAAATTGTACAAACCAATGAATATTACGATAAATGACCTTGAGACGCATTCGTTACAAAAAAAAACTGTTAAGATTATTCAAATATTGTTTAATTTGTTTCATTGCAAAAATGGATGAAAACAATGTGCATTATCGACATACTTGTTTTTTTTTTCTTATTGTAAAGGCAAGGCAAAAATGCTGTACAAACAGCAAAAAAAAATATGTGATGTTTATGGTGGGAGTGCTGTAGCAGAATCAACTGTTTGAAAGTGGTTTGCAAAATTTAAAGTGGGTAATTTTAGCCTTGAAGATGCTCCCTGCTCAGGAAGACCTCTCATTATTGAAGAGGACCAGATCAAAACATTATTGCATGAAAACCCTCATTACACAATTCGAGTGATTGCAGACATAGTGAAGTCATCAAACAGTACTGTATTTTAACATCTAAAGAAGCTTGGATATGTGAATTGATATGACATTTGGATACCTCACAACTTAATGGAAAAGAACTTACTGGATCACATTTCCATTTGTGATTCTCTTGAAATACAAAATGTAAATGACCCTTTTCTGAAGCGTTTAGTGACAGGTAATGAAAAGTGGATTGTTTAAAACAACATCAGCTGAAAACGATCATGGAGTAAGAAAAATGAAGCACCATTAAAAACTTCAAAGGCCTGTCTTCATCCAAAGAAGGTCATACTCACTGTGAGATTTGAAAGGAATCCTGTACTACAAGCTGCTTCCACAGAATCAAACAATTGATTCTGTTAAGTATTGTTCCCAATTGGATAAACTGAACATGGCAATTAAATAAAAACGTCTGGAACTGGCCAATATAAAAGGCATTGTGTTTACCACGATAATGCCAGACCACACACATCTTTACAAACACACCAAAAATTATTGGAACTAGACTGGGATGTTTTACCTCACCCCCCATACTCACTTGACCTTGCCCCATCGGACTACCATTTGTTCCGTTCTCTGCAAAATTCCCTTCATGATAAAACTTTGACACTTTGGAAGCTTGCAAAAACTACATGGATCAGTTTTTTGCAGAAAAAAACTGGAAAGTTCTATGAAGGGGGTATCATGAAGCTCTCCATAGATGGCAACATGTCATTAAAAACAATGGTGCATACATAATGGAATAAAAGTATATTTTTAGTTTTGAAACAGTTTTTTTTATTTCTCTTAAAAATTGCTCTTAAAAATTGCTATTCCAAACAAACCAATAGTATGCTTTATACAGGGTGGGCCAACGAAAACAAAATGGCAGAGATATCGCGTTCATCCAAGCAAATCGCTCGGACAGGTCGATTTTATTCTCAAGGGGGACATCTTCAGCAATAAAGTTTTTGCGATTCTGAATACAACAGACAACAAAAAATTTTAAAAACTCATTCATTTTTTTATTAACTAAACAAACATTTATTTCAAATAAAGTAACAAAAACTTTCAGAATTATAAAAACATTCAGAATTCAGAATCGCAAAAACTTAATTGATGAAGATGTCCCCCTTGAGAATAAAATCGACCTGTCCGAGCGATTTGCTTGGACGAACGCGATAACTCTGCCATTTCGTTTTCGTTGGCCCACCCTGTATATTTCTACAGCTTCAACTATTCATAACTTCTCTCTATCAAATATTTTTATAAGTTATATTACACACTTTGATTTATTTGTCATCTGTAAAGTTAATAATGTTTTTTGTCATTTATTTTATCATGTAGTTTTTAAAACACAATATTTTATCTTGTGATTTTCAAAACTTGATATAAGGCTAAGAGACATCAGTTTTTCTATATTATCTTTAATATTTTTACTTTTATTTTAAATTTTATATTAATCTATTGTATTTATCATATGTAAATTTTATAATGTGTTGTGTTGGTTAATTTATAATGGAAATTTCAAATTGAATCATATTCTGTTTGGAATATTTTTTCATTTTTGAATATTCTATCTGTGGAATGGCTTTTTTACCTAAGGAAGGTCTCTCAATGTGGCCAAAAATATTAATATTTGTAAATTCTATTAAATGTTGCTGGAGTATGTATGTAAGGTGTCATTGTGAACTGTTCCAGTGTATTGGTGAATTAGCTTTCACCTTTGTCAATATGAAAGTAATTTTAGGAAAAACCAATAGTTTGGAGATAATTTCTGTTATGACACAACTATATTCATAATAGATTTCAGAAAATACAATATAGTATAGAAGAATTTAAATTTCATTCACTTAGTTACTGTGGAGTTAAAATATTTATAGGTTCAGCTAATAATTTATAACATTATATAACAAGATAAATTGCATATAATTTCAGTTTGTTAGTTTTCAAAGTAAAAAGATTTATATATTGTATAATGTATTATGGAAAATATATTCTTAAAACTTTTCTACAGTGAGATAAAATTTAATTTACTTTTTTTTTTTTAAATTAGAAAATTTTTCAAAGTTAATAAAAATTAATAAAATGCTAGATGTAATAAGTTATAGATGCTATCTTTTAAATAAAAGAAATATTTTACTTTTGNTATTTTATTTAATAAAATACTATTTCATCATAAAACTTAATAAGCCACTTACAATGTCAAATATATTATAAAGAAGAAAGTGTACTGTCTTTCAGCATTATATTTATTCATTTGTCAAATTAAATGTAAGTATAATAGAAACATTTTGAAATGTCAAAAGTACTTGCATTTAATTCATCAAACAAATATAACACTGAAAGACAATACACTTTCTTTCTTACATTATTTTATCAATTAAATTTCAGAAAATATAGATAGCTTTAGAATAGAAAAGCTTATTTATATGTAGATTATTATTATGTAGATATTGCAATCGTATAAGATTGTAAATAAGTATTATAATGTATAAATAAAATATAGAAAATTGATTTATTGGAGGCTAGTTCACAAAATTATAAATAAAAAATGTTTTCAGACAAATACTGTTTTCAGGGAAAAATAAAATAAGGCTTTCAAATAGGATAATAAGTCAAATTCTGACAATTTAACCAATTAATGCTACAGTTAATTGCATAAGAGATTACTTGTTTAAGAGAATCAAAATGATAAAAATAAACAGACTATATATCAATATTTCACAGACTGCAAAACTATCACAAAGTTTTATAAAGGATATACAACAAATTGGATACTTACTGGCACAAAACATCATCAACAAATAAGCATAAATCCAAAAATCAGTTCATAAATCATATGAACACAGAAAAGTAACAAAAGTACTGTACATCAGATTACATAATACAGGGCAATACTGGAAGTATGTAAAAAGTTACAAAACATTATGAACTCACATATATTTGTGTTGTTCTGATTTTGTAAACTTTGGATCAGTATAGTAAATTTTATTTTGTAAAGATGTGCATTGAATTATCACAATCAATATTATAATGAATAAATGAATATTTTTCATCTATACTAATATTATAAAGAGGTAATGTTTGTATGTATGTATGTATATAAGTTTGTATGCAGCAGGTAATCTCCAAAACTACTCATCCGGTTTCAAAAATTCTTTCGCCAATATTTAGAATGGAATTTCAGGGTGGACATAGGCTGTATATTATTCCGTTAAACATTCATATAAATTAAATTAAAAGATATAATCTAGGTTAAGGCTTATGTCCAACAGATGGTGCTACGAGTATGACGCCCTAAGTTTGCTTTTCTGTGAGGCATTATGCTTTTCTGTGAAAATGAACTAAAGCAGATCATCTTCTATCTATTTATATAAATAAAAATGTAATGTTCATTTGTTCCTACCGATTCCTTTGAAATTTTGACACAAGGCTGCATTCGAATACGCACATGTTTTTATATAATATACATGTTGAAATTCAACCCCACTGAAGGGAGATGGTTAGGATTAAGGCTTACAGTAAAGAACTCTGCTTGTATTTATACTATTTTAGATGCGGGTTTTTGTATTTTTGATTGCGTTTTAATAGGGTACGTCAAAAGAATGTACACTAAGAAGAAATTTTTCGAAAAATTCCCTCCCACGGGGGAAGTGTTATAAATTTATAATAGATACATTTTGAGCCACAACAACGCGTGGCGGGGTCTGCTAGTACATAATCAAGAAAGACACATGAAGTGGTTACTTTCACAATTATGGGCTTGTATAGTGAATATTTGATTGTAGATAGATAATTATTGACATTTCAAGCACATTAGCTTTTTCTATTAATATTTATTTATAATGACAACTCTTAAAATGCCAGCAATTGTCTAATTACATTTTTTTAATACTTTATATATATTAGAATTAAACATAGGATAGGCATTATGCTCTTGAAGACTAAAAATTTAAAGGTTGCATGTTACATTAAATAATCTTACAATACACTTAAATATTTTAGGTTGATTCTAATGTTTTGGAGCTGAAGCTGCCCTTATGGAAGGCCAAAAAGCATTTCTCTAGTAAAAAATGAGTTTGGTTTCCTTAAAACAAACTATTTTTTATTATTTGTATTATTTTTTTATTATTTTTATTATATATTTATTTGATAGCCAGATGTGGTACCAAGTTTTACAAAAGTTACTGATATTAAATTAATCAGTTACATCACTTGTAAATCATATTTTAAAAGTGTTTTTTTTTTTTAGTATTATATGTAAATGTATACTTGGTATATTTTTCTAAAAATTTTAATTGAGTTGAATACAAAGAATTTTTAACTAAATTTGATAGTCATTATAAAAATTATATTTAAATATTAAAACTAGGCCTAAAAGTAATGGATCTACTTGGCAAAGCACAGCTGTTACTTCAAGAACAACTAACAAAACACTTGAAACTACAAACAGAATTTATAAATTAAAAGGTCAACTAAATAAACAGTTAGCTTTAAGCAAAGGTATTTATTCTTTTCCATTTTTTTTTTGTATTTTTAGAATAATTATTTTTATTTTTACTTCAATGATTTAAATACTGATAAATTTTATTTTTAGGTATTCCTCCAAAAATAATAGATGCATTTTGTGATGGATTTCCAACCAATTGGAATGTTCTTATTAAAAATTTTTGGAATGTTTATACTACTACAAAGTAAGTAAAATAATGTTCAAATTAAAGAATTTTTTGGCAAACATACAAGTTTTTCTTTTATAATTCATTTGACTAAATAAATTTGGACTTGTAAAATGTAAATTATATTAGTACATAAGTTTGTTTGATATTTAGTCTGTAAAAATTCAAGAAATTTATGTAACTTATTTGATCATTGTAATTGAATATTTATGAATTTCAATTTTCATATAAATAAACTATGTAAATAATTTTATATTGTTTGATATTTTAGGATTGACCCAAAAGATTATGACCCTTCTCAGCATACACAAAATGACCAAAATTACAAACCGTTAAACACTAAAGGTACCAAAAACAAAATTTTTTACTTTAAGAATTTTAAAATAAATTTAAGTATTTTTAATTATTTTAGTTAATGATGATAAAATTAATTATACCAATTTAGTTTCATTATTTTGATTTTACATTTAGATATTTTTTTCTGTTAGCTGAAGCTTAATTATTTGTCTTATTACTTAGATAAAATTTTAATATAAATTAGATTTAGAAATGATTTAAGAGTTTCCTTTGTTGTTATTGAGTTTACTTAAAAGATACTAAAAATTTTTTATTATGAAAATTCAACTTAGACAACTGTAAAGAAACTCAATAAATTAAATAGTTGTTCCTAACTATAAAAAATTCAGTCAAAACACTTAGTACTACATTCACTGCTCATTGTAGAAATTTTTCTTAAAATGTATTTACTTGGAAAGGTCTAAAGTTGATATTTTTGATTAAGCATTGAATTACCAAAATAAAAATGAAAACAAGTTTACAGTAATTGTAAATAGAATAGAGATATATCATTGATAATAGTGAAAGCATCTGTTGTTTATTTTATTTTTTTTAATTGAAAATATATTATTAACGAAGTGAAATTGTATATACAAGGCATGATCTGGAAGTTTTCAGAGATAATGTTTAATGTTGTGAATATTTCATACATCCAGAAATAATTATCATTATGACTTCTATGCTGAATGTGACAGTTAAATAGATTGCACTAACTTGCACTAACCATGTACTTGTACCACTAACTTCATTCTGGTAGTTTTTTCTGATTCTTTCAGATCTGAACAAAGCTTGTTCTATCTCCTTTTCAGACTGTCTGTTACTAACAGCACAAAACCTTTCTCACTAATTTCTAGCCTTATTAACTGGAGTACAAACGTTTTCGGCCTTCTTAATAGGCCTTCCTCGGGTACACTGTGGAGCGTCGGTTAGAAGAAGTTTAAATGCTGCAAAGGCTAGAAATTAGTGAGAAAGGTTTTGTGCTGTTAGTCTTAGAAATAGTTCTAGCTACATATGCATAGTAGACTGTCTGTTGTCAATGACTCTCAAGCTTTAGGTAATACATACCAGCAGTTCTTCAGATTAAACGTTTTAGAAAAGTAACAGCCTTGTCATTTTCTGCCAAGAGTAAACAACAAAGAATTTTAAAAAGTAATGAACAAACAAATTTGGGTCTATTTAAATCTTTATCCTTCTTTAAATTTTATCCAGAGAGAGATGGTTAACAACTTGAAGATAAAATACAATTCTTCATTAAAAATAACTGATGATATGATGTTAAAAAGAACATACTTTATACATTTGATGCTAATTTTTTCTTGTAGGATCTGACCCCAAACATTCTTTTCCTGTGCATTCTCTTCACCTTCTCAATGTCGTCTTGATCCATTGGTTGAGCTAATGCTGTGACATTTGATGGAAGATAAATCACTTCAAAGTCATCATTGATTGTATTTAGCATATCATCCATCAACAGAGCAACATCTTTGCATTCATGATGCCTTTTAATGCTTGGTATAAAATCTTTAGTATACCATTCACAAAATAGATTGAGATCACCCATGCATTTTTTTGTCTTATAAACGGTAGGTATGCGGGCAACATTTTTGAAACACTTAGGTTTTTTTTTTAAGACTTTTTAATCACTATCAATGGCAAACTCATGCAATGTCAGCAGTGCAGTGCATGAGTACCACTGGCATTTGTACAAATCAATGCAGTGATTTGTTCTCTGCTAACTTTAGAACCAGGAGCTGCAGATTCCTGTTGTGAAGTCAGTGATTTTCAGGGCAATACTTTCCAGTTTATCCTTGTTTCATCTGTATTGCAGACATTGAATATAACGTGCTATCCCTGAGTTTTGTGAACTTTTCCTTAAATTCATTGGCAACTGTCTTGTTACAGGTCAATGACCTTCAATGAAGTTCTGTTATGCTGTGTCATAACTTGAGGTTTCTAGGCCAACCATTGTTGACTTTGAAATTAGGAAAGTCTCTAAGTGACTGTTCATGTGTAGTATCTTTTCATGTAACAAAGAGTTAAATATTGGTTTCCCATTGTTTATTCTTTGAATGAACCACAAATGAAGTGTGCAATTAAATGTCACATCATTTTCATCTTTTTTCATTTTTCTTTTCTTAGACCCATTATCAGAGTCAAACCTGGTAGCATATTTCAAGATGGCATGTTAGTTGGCTTTTATGCCCAATATTATTGCTTTTCTTATGTTGTAGCTTTTAGCTAAAGAAACTCCACTTTCCTTTGTCTAAATATCAATAGTTGATGATCTCTAGTTTTGATTATATTATCAGCACATTTATTTGCTTTTAGATGATAATACTATGTGGGCACCTCCAAAAACTGACTGCCACAATGTCCACAATCATCATATGAAAGCAGTACACAATACCTGTAAAGATTTTTGAGTATATATTTATTTTCTATGACCTCCAAGTGTCTTCTCTGCTGAAAGTCTCTCTGGACAATGTGGTTGCCTTTTTATATTCCTTGCATTTTTTGTGTAGTGATTTCTTCTTTGTTTATCTACCCTCTGTTTACAGGTAATTAACTCTTTTGTTTGGCACCCTTTTCTTCATGTAGGGGGAAAATGGTCTGGCTTGAATGATTAGCATTCAGATAATTGAAGTTCTACTATGTATGATTAAATGGAATTTATCATTACCATATTTTTTAAATATTCAAAGTTTTTTGATATTTAAAATTTTTATCTTTACAGAAACTAAGAAGAAAATTCAAAAACAAAATACACAAAATAAGAAATGTGAAGTAGATGTATTAGTGACTAGTTTCTTATCAAATTCAAGAAGTTTGTCTATTTATTGTCCTCCAGAAACACAATCAGTAATTTTTTTTAATTATATTACATTTAATAAACAGCCTTACATTAAGAAATTTATTTATGTGAATTTAACATGTTTTGATACATTTTTCTAGCTCATCATCAAAAATATATCATTCATTTAAAATGTAATAATTCTGCTGACTTAAGAAAGTGTAATCAAATTTTGTTGAATATTATTACAGTAAAACCTTGATTTAACAGACTAATCCATTAAAGCCAAAAGTCCATTATATAATAAAGTAGGTTTTCTAAATGAGTGTGTTAAAAAATGAATAGTTATTAGTTTATCTGTGTTTACTCATGTAGCTATGTTTGCATAATTAAAATTATGTATGTATGAGATGTTTAATTTTACAGAAAAGTTTCTTATATGTATTATTGCTTATGTAGTTGCCATAGTTCTGATACTGTAATAAATAAATATACAATTTAAATTGAAATAAACAAACATTTTTTTGAAAAATACACTTTAATTGCATTTAATTGAGAGTGGTGACTATTGGATAAAAAAAAAACCTGTTAATTTAATTACATACAAAAAGCATTTTAACATTAATAGGGTATTAATTTTCACATATGACATAGACCAGAAATTTTGTCTGTTAAATTCAAAGTCCATTAAATCAAGGTTTTACTATACAGTATAAATTATAATTAAAATATAGGAATTAAACTAATTATAATTAAAATATAGGAATTAAACTAATTATCTGTTTAGTTATTAAATAAAATATTCTAATGATATATTAATTTTTTTTTATTTTAATTATTATATTTTAAGTCTCTAATACATAAATATAACATTATTTGTTTTTTTTTCTTGTTAGCTAAGGCACTAAGAGGACTTTTTAACTCCTAGTTTGAACAGTGCAATTGGCTAAATTGTTGAGTAATGCAAAGGATGTGGGATTTTTCTCTGTACTTAAGCTTTATTTTACTTTTTCAAATAGAAACAAAATATTATTCTTTAATAAGTCAATTTAATTTTACAATAATTAAGCATAAATGTCTTTTTTAATATATTAAAGATAGAAAATAGAAAATTCACAAGAAAAGATCAATCAGAAATGGAACTCAGATGCCCACTCCAGGCCTACAGTACAGATAATATCTTTAAAAAATAATAATCCAGCAGTTTAAGCTTAAGTTTGGCGAATAATTTGGGTTTTGGTTATATTGCACATTCCAGATTATCATAATTAAAATACAGTAGAACCTCGATTATCCGGACTAATTGGGGATGAAGGTAGTCCGGATAAGGAAAAATCCGGATAATTGAAACAAATACTTTAATTTGTCTTTTCATGATAATACAACACGTTTTCTTTTCGATGACATATTGGTAATATTAAAAGTAAATACTGTATTTAAATCGTGATCAAATTTTCAAGAAACAAACGTTCGTATTGAATTTGGACTACTTCTGACCAACGCTAACAGACTACCTATTGTTTAAAAGGCCCTCTGATGGCGCAAGAAGACGGATTTTATAAAATAAAAAGCAGTTGAAACTGCATTTTTATGAATAAAAATTTGACAAACTATTTATCGTTTTATGACGAGTAAAATTTTTTCGTCGCGTTCGCGGCTTTTAAGTAATGCATAAACCTTCGAGGCGCGAGGCCCTTCGGACCGCGAGGCATAGGCGGTGGCCCACGTCGTCCATGCCTTACGCCGCCCTTGGTCATAGAAATGATGTAATTTGAATATAAATTATTTATAAATACATATGTCAAGTTATATTTTTATTACTACGTAAAATATATTTAAGAGTTTACGACCACTGTGCTGGGTGAGACGTTGTTGAAACAAAAAAAGTTATGCATTCTGTCACGTACATAAATAGTGTCGTAATTCACCAAGTGCAAATTAGCAAATTCGTAAAATTTTTGTTTATTTTGAACAATCCGGATAATCGAAAATCCGGATAATAGAGGTCTGGATAATGGAGGTTCTACTGTACCTCTATTTCAACACTTCCTAATGTGATATTTAGTAGTCCAACTGCAACCAAATCTTGTATAGTGATTTTTAAAGACATGCAGAAGACATTTCAAAAAAAAAAAAAAGAAAAGAAATCAGTACCAAAACTCACCACTGGCATTTTTGGTATTGCAAGAAACAAATGTTCTGTTTGTACAAGACAATCATGCAACAGAGACTTTAGTGATGCAGGGGATACTGCTCAACATGGCCCCCATTCTAAAGATGTAAAAACCTGAAGACAATGAATGGTGTGTTCAACAGCTGACCATAATTGATTTTCTGTGATTCTTGTTCTATGTTCTTGATAAACCACACTTTTCAAATGTCCAAAAATCACACAGATTAAGATCTGGAGAATGAGGTGGCTAGAAAGTAGGAAGCACACAACTACTCATACTGTTGTTAGTGAAATGTCACAGAAATTGCTGTATGCATCATCAGATATGTGGAGGCACTCCATCTTGCATGAAAATTGTTGACTCAAGATGGAGTTGCCATAAATTCAAAACTAGAAATAGACACATTGTAAGTGAGGTAGCATTATGGTAAAATTTAATGGACTTGCCAGAATTAGGCAGGCAGTAGCTACTCTGGAAAATAAGTGAATAATTCTAATTAAATTAATTTTATTGAATTATCAATACACTTCTGTTTTGTTATACCACATGACACTGCTCTGACTGTCACACATGCCACATGATGCAAGGGTAAATGGCTCATGCACAATGCTGGTTTCAGTACTTACAGGAGAACAGGTTTTATCTGTTTGCTCCAGTATGGACTCTTAGGAAAAGTGTTTCTTTTGGGGGATTTAACAAAAAAGGGGCATATTTGAAAAGAAAACAAAATGAGAAAGAATTAGAAAAAAGGAGTAGTAGTTATGAAATGGATATCAAAACAGATTCACTGATGTATACTTTGTGATCCATGCTATTAATTTTTCCTTAAGGTCAGGTGTGTAAATACATAAAACAAAACAGAAATTAACTTCTACTGTTATCCATTTGGCTAATTTTTTCTTTAAGTCTAGCATCTGAATAGATAGGATAAAAAAAACTTATTAATGTCTAATATTAATTTGTTGGGCTCCAATTTTAAAATTGCAAACTTATTTCCATCGTCTGTCTGTCATTCATTAATCTCAAACAGTTAGATGAAAATTGAGACCAGCTATGGAAAGCTTAGGAACCAGAGATTCCAATTAATTATATACAAACTACCAATCTGGACCAGAAGTCATGTGATTTCAATTCAAAATTTTCTTAAGAACAGAGTTAGATGACCAGCATGACTCAATTGTTATCAAGAGCAGTATGATGTACAGGGGTAAGACACTACTAAAATTGAGATAAAATATGGAAAGCTTAGGGAAAGGAGACCCTGATTAACTATATATGAACTGGTCTGGTCTTCTTTTTTATAAATTAAAAGATGATTAAGAATTGTGGCCTGACATTTCATAATAAATAATTGCTTGTTAATGTTAGCTTTTAGGACTAGTGTATAAATCAGTGTTTCTCAACGGGGGCGATATCGCCCCCATGTGGGCGTTTTTCCATGTTGAGAGGGCGATTTGTAACAATTTATATTTTGGGAGGCGAAAAACAATTTTCTGGGCGATATAGTAAAACATTATATTAAGAATAATTAGATATTTTATTTGTTATATCGTACAATAATTAAACAAATAACGTTATACTAGTCACTAGTCTATTCAATGCAGTACGAATTTGGCGTTAGTCTTGGTCCTCGGCATCGGAATTTTGAAGTGAAGGGGGCGATAATAGGTAACGGTTTTATTGAAGGGGGCGACAATTCGTTAGAGGTTGAGAAACACTGGTATAAATAGATGGAATATCTATTTACAGGGTCCATACTGGAAAATCAGGGAATAATATTTTGTAGCAGAAAAACTCAGGGAATCTGCAAATACCACAGAATCTGCCTGTTGCTCTTGCTCCTTTTTGATCTGAATATGTCTTTAAATTCAGTTCAGTATTGGGATCTACAAAACCTGGAGCAACCAAAAAAAATTGGCAAGATTTGTCACGCTTATATCTTGTTAACTTTAAATGATAATCTAACAATTTAAATTTTGTTGAATAGAAAGTTTATGTTCAAATTTAAAATGGTGGGTAGTGGGGGAGGGGTAGCAGTTGCACATGAACACTAAAAATGGCAATGCTGTGTGGTGTTTGGGCAGTGAAACTTTGGATTGTGAAGAAATAGGAAGTTGAAAGTGGTGTTGATTTGTACACAATGACAGGATCTACAATATTATTTAGCAATAATAACCAATAAAATAGTAAAGTTATAAGCTGATAAGTGTGTGAGTTGAAGAAAATGTTCATAACGTCAAAGAAATTGCAATGGAAATATGAACAGAAATGTAAGGTGCACATATCATTGGGAAAGAAAAATTTAAAGGAATCAGAAAATCCAAAATTACTAATGCCGACTTCCTTAGTACCATTGCAGTTATACAGTTTTAATGAAATAAACAAAAAACTATGTTATGGCAAAATTATATGATTTTTATGTTTTAAGACTTACTCTAATTATTATAAATAAATTTTGATTTCAATTAAATTGTTCCATTCTTAATATAATTTTGTCCTGCTAGATTTGCAAAAACTTACACTGTGCGCCATCTGATATTGACTGATAGATATTGACTTGTGATAGCCACTAAGACTTTATTCATTTACATCTTATCTTTCCTCTAATAATACAAAGATGGATTCATGCCTTAAATGATTGCGATTGTGTCCCATAAAAAAGAATCATCCCAATTTTTTTGACCTGCACAACATCTGCTTAATTTAAATAAACTCATGAAATTTTTCATGTGACATAGAAATGATGTAGTTACATAACCAATTTTACACAAAGTTTTTTGTAAGTAAATAAAGTGTTTTTTAATTTAAAAAAATGTATATAATTGTATACAAAATGGGCTTAAATACACTTGACCAAATAGTACATAATGGAAAGGGGAAATGCAGAGATCTTAATAGGTCAGGGAATAATGTCATAATTGGTCAGGGAATCGTAGATGGAATTATCTGTACAGATCCTATATTTATGTTAGTACTACAGGTAAATTTACCAAAATGAATAGGAAAATAAATGTTAATAAGCTGTTTTGTTATCCATTTTGATAATTTTTTTTAAAGTTTATTACTTCAAATTTATGTTTTTCCCCTTTTGTTCAAAACACCCAAAAAAGCCAAGCCTCTTTTTTTTTTCATTAAATCCAAAAAAGAAATCTTCTTTTATCCTAGAGTTCATACTGGAACAAACAGTTTAAATACCTTTGCTTTGATAATCATATACAGTTGACTCACCTTAAAGTAAACACCAATAAAGCAAATTTTACCATTGTCCTGGCAAAACGCCATTGTCACAATGTTAATTTTCACACAGTAAAGCACAAAAATTTTACCAGAATTCATTAAACCAAACTAAATTATCTCCACAACCCTCATGAAATAATCCTGTTACCAATTATGGTTGCTTTTCACACTTTTTGACATGAATAATAAAAAGTGGTACTGTGATAAATGTTTTATTTTGAATAGAATAGATTTTCTTTTCCTAGTACAGTAGAACCTCGAAAATTCGGCCTAATGTGGTCCGAAGGGTGGCCGAGTTTGTGAAAATGCCAGGTTATCGGGAATGGGGTTAAAAAAGGATAAGTATGCATGTTTCCTCAGAAAATACTGTACTGTACTTGTATATATTGTTTGCTTGAGAATACAACAGAGAATAAACTGTTCAAATACCCTTAAACAAAGGAAAAGTACATACTTTATGAAGGCATAGAGCCTTTACTACATGAAAATGAAAATTAATGAATACACTGTGTACAGTAATTTACCTGATAAGACAGACCTCAGAAAAATACTTTATGAGAGCTTTTATACTTTTATAAAGCTGTCTATAATGAAAATTAATTAATTAAGGATTTTTTTGCCCTGCCAGGGTGTGGCCGAGTTATCCGGAGTGCCGGGTTATCGAGAGCCGAGTTTTCGAGGTTCTACTGTAAGTGGTCACTGGTTTGACCTCCAATTGTAGAGTAATTTGCACATCTAGTTTTAACAGACCATTCTACTGTACTCAGAAAATAGGCGCTAAAGTTTAAGGATGCCCACCTCTTTAAAAGGATATGGTCCCATGCAACACATGCTAATTTGCATATCATGGAGTGCATAAGGTAATGCCAGATTTGGCTGCTTTTTTACTCATTTGGTGCCTAAAATATTTTTGACTTTTTCAAACAATCTTATTGCATTGCACACAGATAGCAAAACAGAAGAGTGCTGAATTATCAATTATTGAACATTTTTTATTATTCGTTGAACAGTTGTACTTATTTGACTTATATATTTCAACTAAGTTTTTGTTAGAAAATCTGGCAGCTTCCATTGTACACTTGGCTAAGTTCATGTTGGACATGATTAAAAATAAAACTCCTCTTAGTGCCAACTGGAAGGAAAAAGTAAAAAGAAAAAAAGCTAGACATGGCCAGATTAATCTTTGATCCATCAATGATGGTTGCACAAAACCTTTGATTCATTGATAGTTTGGAAGCCATCACATAGCCCTACACAGCGCCAACAGAACATGATGCATGTCACAAACTACTAAAGTCGTATGCATATGAGGATAGGTGGGGTATGTATGCTGACATCTGCAAGCCTTATTTGACTGTTTTGAATACAAATTGGAATAAAGCCTGACTTCTTAAGTTATCAGCAGTTTGACTTGTTTAATTCTACTCTGGGTTGGTGGAAGATGAAACTAGTACAATTTGCAATATTTTTGAGTAGAAATGGACAAATTGGGACATTCCAGGAAAAATTTTCCAATTGGAACAAAGTGTTCCAAATTGGACAAATCCTGAAAAGTTTGATTTTGCTAACTCAAGGCATTGTTACTGTTGTAGTTGAAGTATTACTTTTTTAATATTTCAACTGCAACAGCAACAATGTAATTAATTAAATATAATCATGGAAAAGTAGCCTGAAGTAACCGGTGGTTGGTATTACAAAAGTGTTGCACTTTTGATATTTCTTGGTCATCACAGATCATGTCACAGGCCCATTGGGACTAGTTTCTTTGGAAAGAATGTCTAAAGATAAATGTGGCTATTAATCCATACTGGACTAATGTTAGGTGAGTACAGAGGAATTGTTGGGAAACATGAGAATTTTCCATGGCCCAAATGTCAGTTATGTATCTAATAAGAATGACTTTGAATAGTTGTGGCCACTTTTATATCCAGAACTTGGCTTTAATGTGTGTGCTTATGCAAAGGAAGCTGCTTTTTGATTGCAGTGACAAAAGTATCATAGTAGTGAGTTTTAGTGCACAGTTTTTTTTACAGAAATTTTTCACGTCCTGAATTGTTACTATTCCAGATTTGGTTGAATTGCTATATATCTTTATAGATAGCATTGAATAGGAATACTTTAATTACACTCATCTGGTATAAGTATATTCTTGAAATTTCTGTGTGTTGGGTCGATTGTTTTTGCACGTGTGAAAACCTAATGACCTGGGTTCAATCTGGAACCGATCAGGTTACACCTACATGTGGGCGTGCAATTTGGGGATGTCTTTTGTTTGGGTCAGTTAGATGAGCAGGACGTGACCGGTGTCCAGTCCGACCGTTATAACCGTTTCTTTGTTATATATTAAACGTTGATCTACGATTAGGGATCTTTATACCCTAAGAACTTAACACTATGGGACCATAAAAGATTTCCTATGTTATCACTGGATATATATTATATGCCATTATCAAGCCAAAACAAAATGGGGAAAGAGAATCTTTGGATCAGTGAAACTTTTATGAAGAATTTTCTTTATCCTTAACAGAGATTTTCTTGCTTTGGACACTTCTTTTTACCCAAGTTTATGATGGGTGCTGAAAACAAGGCATCCTCATATAGCAAGATTATTGACACAGAAGCACACAAGAATTTTTAGATCTTCACAAACTAGTTGGAAACTAACATAATTCACAAAGTGAACTACAATGTTCTTCATATTTCACTTTAATCAGGATATGATATTCATATTGCTCTTTAAGGTGAGCAGAATGTGAGTAACAAAATATTGCACAAGAATTTGTTCTGGAATTTTTCCTATTTAAATTACTTAACTATGAAAGTGCATAGACTAATTTAAAATATTTCTACCAATGTGAAAATTTTTAATCACATATAACTATGTGATTAAAAATTGATTGTTTTTGTGTTCAGCATGACTGAATTAGCAAAGATCAGATTTTAATTGGCAGACTCAAAAACAATATAGACCTGTATTGTTAGTGTATTCTTTAGAATATGTAATAAGTGCTTTATTTTGAAAATATGAAGTTTTAATTATTGTTAATAATAATAATAATAAACTAGTGGTGGAAACTTGGCTTCCATTAATGCATTTTGCTAATAACAGAAATATCAATATTTAAATTGCAAAATATGTGGAATCCTGACATTGTAAACAAATCTATAACTTAACATGAAACATTATAATAATCTTATATAATTAAGTACTTTTGCATACTTTAAGGTTTCATTAATATATTACAGACATTCTGTTCAAATATCTATAACTGATGAAGCTGTAAATAAAGTGGGCAAAAATGCTTTTAATTAATATAAAAAGCTGATAATGTTTTTGTGTTACACAGATTTAAATTGCCATATAGAAGAAAACACTTTGAGTTATGTCACTATAAGTTAATGACAAGTCTCTTTCTTTTTATAGCAGAATGTTAAAATTAAATTTAATAACTTTTAGTGTGTAAAATTATATACAAAATTTTTAATTTATTCTATTTGATTTTTCCTAATTTTGAATGATAGAAATTATAGATTTTCATAACTTTCTCTCTCTCATGATGCTCTTTAAATGAAACATACATGTATATAAGATATATATATATATATATATATATATTCAATAATGAAGATAGATGGATAATATTTTTTTTAAAAGAAAAAAATGTTTGTAGATTTTAAATAAAATTATATTTATGTATATTTACAGAAAAAAAATGTTACCAGAAAGAATATGAAGCAACCAGCAGCAGAATCTGCTTTAAAAGTTAAAAGTAACTTAAATATTATAACAGAACAAGAAAATGTAAAAAAGAATATAAATTCAGAAAATCAGACCCCATCAGTCAAAGATGATATCTTTTTAAAGCCAAAAGATCCTGTTTCAAAAAAACTAAATGGTAAAGGAAAAATGACTACATCTGAATCAATGAATTTAAAAGAAAATGTTTCTTCAAAAATGCAATTAAGAAATAGAAAACCTGCAAAAGACAACACTGTACAGTCCATTAATGAAGAGAAAGTCCAAAAAGAAATAGAGAAAAAAGAATCATCCAGAGTAAAGAAACAAAACAAAAAACCAACAACAGTTAGTAATGTTCAGTCTACTGTTTCTCGTGAACAGAAAATAGAAAATGTTGCTGATAAAAAACAAAATACAGATTGTGTTCAAGCTTATCCAAAGAGAAGAGTATTAAGGAATCGTACACAAATGCCTAATTATTGTGAATTAAATGATAAAGAATTTAATAAAAGAATAAGAGTGCAGAGTTCTAATAAAATAATAAATAATAACCAGAATTCAGAAAGAACACAAGAGAAAGCTAAAGAAATAAAATCCAAAGAAAATGAAAAAGCAACAAAGAATGTTCGAGGAAAAAAACTTAAAACTAATAAAACTAAAGATGTCAATACTATAACTGATCCACAAAATATCATAATAGAAAATAACTTATCTAATAAATCAGCAGAAAACCATAAAAAAGAAATTAAATCATCAAAATTAACTAAAACGAAAACTGCTGTTAAAAAGACAAACAAATGTGATGAAAATAATATTCAAAATGAATGTAATAATGAAGAGCAAACTGATAAACCTCTTGGTAGATATCATTATGTATTACTAATAGCATTTTATTTCCTATATTAAATCTAATTTATGATATAAATATTTTTAGAAAAACTAACAGCTAAAAAGGGAACCAAGAAGCGTAAACAGCAATTGATAAATTTAATGGAACAGATAAATGAGGGATATGAGGATGATCTTTTTGAATCGACTCCATTTAAAAAACAATGCAATATAGTAAATATATTATTATTTTATTTATAAAAAGGGGAATTTTAAAAGAAGTNGGAAAAAAACTTAAAACTAATAAAACTAAAGATGTCAATACTATAACTGATCCACAAAATATCATAATAGAAAATAACTTATCTAATAAATCAGCAGAAAACCATAAAAAAGAAATTAAATCATCAAAATTAACTAAAACGAAAACTGCTGTTAAAAAGACAAACAAATGTGATGAAAATAATATTCAAAATGAATGTAATAATGAAGAGCAAACTGATAAACCTCTTGGTAGATATCATTATGTATTACTAATAGCATTTTATTTCCTATATTAAATCTAATTTATGATATAAATATTTTTAGAAAAACTAACAGCTAAAAAGGGAACCAAGAAGCGTAAACAGCAATTGATAAATTTAATGGAACAGATAAATGAGGGATATGAGGATGATCTTTTTGAATCGACTCCATTTAAAAAACAATGCAATATAGTAAATATATTATTATTTTATTTATAAAACTTATCCTGCAATTCATATTTTAAAATATACATTACTTTCAGCTTTCAGATGATTTTCTAGAAATAAATATAAATGAAAATCAGCATATTCAAACACCAGTATTAATGAAACCTATTTGTGAACCTGTATCTGCTAGGAAAACACCAACATTTAATACAGGTATTAGTCCTGGAACTCTCCTAGCTCAAAGGTATGTTTTCTTGCTATAATCTAAAAAATTTCTAATATTCAATATTGCATGCTGTATTTTATTTATTACATTTTTTATAATATTAAATATTCAGAGGTGATGCAAAGATCGTTTGGAAAAAATCTGGTAAAAGTCTAAAAGCAAAGGTGGGCATAATTTTAACTATTTTTTTAAATTATAATTATTTTAATTACTATTCCAAGAATTTAAGTTTAATGCATTCTTTTTTATTTAATAATAAAATAATTTTTTTGTGTATGAATTTTAATTTTTAATAATCTGATTTTTTAAGAATGACAAAGAGAAGGAAGTTAAAAAGAAACCCAGATCATTGAAACCACAGAAAGACATAAAAAATATATTTGCTACTGAGAAACAAGAATCTGGTGGAGAATCAGATGATGATGACTATTTTTCGGAAGAAGATTGATCTACTCTATAGACAGTGATCAGTTTTGATTAAATTTATTTCTATTGTGATCGAAATGAAATATAAACAATATTTCATTTTGATTTTGTATATATTTATTATGTTAAGAAAGAGAGATGTTAGTTACATTTTTTTGTTATTCTGTTGCATTTTATAGTTTTTTTATGACAAAAATATTTTTGAATTAACTCTCATACAAACACATACACACAGACTATTTATAGAATAAATATGAATTAAATATAAAAATAATTCAGAACTAACAAAAACGATTATTTTTTTGTAATTGAAAATATATACACACAAAATTATATGTTTATGAATTTATATGGAATTAAAAAGTCAGTAAATATTTTTTATTTATTTTTATATTATTTCAGTTTTTATTTGATAGCAAAATAGATATAACTCATATTTAAGTAGAAAAAAAAATGGTTCTAAAAAATTTAAACAGTCTTAAACTAATTTGATTAAAATTTCATTCAAAAATTTACACAGCCGAAACCAGTTCAAACATAATGTTTTATCTGCTCAAAGGTTGTCTTTTGTAATTTATTATATATACATTGAGACAGCAATGCAGTGCCAAAATAAGCTGGTACATATAAGCGGGCTCTTATATGCAAGGTGTGCTCTTATAAGTGAAACAGGATGTTTTCTCAAAACTGCAAAAACAAATGATTTTCACATAATTATAAGAGCATGTCTTATATGCATGAAAATATGGTATGAGGTGCAGAGGAAAAAACTATATAAAAATCCAATATCCACCAAACATGTTTAAATGCTTTATTTTCTGTCGTAGAAAATCAAAGCATTTGGTAAATTTAGGTAAAGATGTTCATTGGTTAAACTTAGCAAAGAACAAATAATATAATCATCAGTATCCATTTGGCCACTGGTGTCCAAATGGATGAAACCACTGAATGTCCACCAGCTCAAACCCAACACCACTGGTGGGTGCTGGTTTGAGCATGCCCAACATGAGAGAATTGTTGGCCATGAGAGTCTTCTGGTTTTCTTCATGTCTAACACCTAAATAGAGGCCAGTTTCCTATAGCAAGTTCTCTTAGGAGACATTCCTCCAGATGACCACCCATGTGTTGCATTGCTTTATTCCATCAATCCAATCTGTTATTAATATTGATTCTGTTTTATAATTCCCAGATGCAGTGCTGTAACAATCCTTTCATCTGTCCTGCAAGACTTTATTTTTTTTTATCTCCCCTTTTTTGGAAAAAATATAAAAATGAATACAATGGAAATGGCCAATTATTTTTTAACTTTAACCATAAACCTTACAGAATCTGCAAAATTTAATACAGGGTAGCCCTCGGTTTACGCTGATTTACAATAATGCCGCTGTGAAATTCGCTGTTTTGCTGTGTAATTCCCCAATTTTCCCTATGCTAGATTTGACTAGATTTTGTCCCGATTTGACCAATCCTAGCGAGACACGAGTCTACTATGACACCATGTGTCATGGCAGAATCGTGGGTCATTGGGATTGGTCAGATCTAGACCAATAGAGAATGTTCCACGAACAGTTAGATTTGAATGGACCCAACATAAAGCTACAGAAGAATGACCAAGAAGAAAGTCCAAGAGTTATGAAAACAGCCAATCTAAAGCGTATTCTTTCAACTATGGAAGTTTGACGGATGAAGTTTAAACTTTGTGAGTTAGACAATGATTGCGAGCGAAGTGCAAATGTAAAAAGGAGCATCATTGCATCCATTTGACCATATTTCGAAATTCTTAATAAAAGAAAACAAAAATGTAAACAATTAAAGATGGATACTTTTTTCCGAAAAATGTAAGAGATCCGAAATTAAAATTTTTTAATAAAAACATTTCATTTTATTTTATGATAAAATACATTATTAAAATTAAATTTATATGTATTTTGTATTATATTGTATTAATAAACAAAATTATTTGCTTATTTTTCACTTATGTAGAACCTAACCCTATACCTCACTGTAAATATGGGTTCATTTTATGCCAGTTTGATTTGCTCCGGCTTTTGTAGGAACAGAACTGCGGTGTAAACCAAGGGCTACCTGTATTTGAAAATAAAAATACAATAATTTTTTTGATACTCCATTTTAGGGCCCTGTACCTGTGCATCTGTTGCAACTGCTTAGTTATGTTGGTATTGCTCAAATACAGGGTGATTCAAAAGTCACAGAAATTTTTTAAAAAATTAATAGTTCACAAACTACAGTAAGATGATGCAGTTTTCACAGAAATGCTTAGAAGTGAGATTTTATGTGTAATAAAAATTTTAGTACCAAAATAGTTAATTTCTTGCCATAGATGGTGCTGTAGGAAACTGAAAGCATTTGTAATTTGTTAAAATAAGAATAAAAAAATAATAATGTTTTTAGTTAAACTCTAATAACAACTACAGAAATTATGTAATCTTATAAAGTGCCATCTATGGCAAGAAATGTAACTATTTCGGTACTAAAATTTTATTTCACACAAAAAAATATTCCGCTTCTTTCTAAGCATTTGTGTGAAAACCGCATCATCTTACTATAGTTTGTGAGTTATTAACTTTTTAAAATTTCTGTGACTTTTGAATCGCCCTGTATATTGCTATACCATTAAATTTACTCCTAAAATTTATATACACCTTTTATAATTATCTTTTTAATTGAGGTGATTGTTTTGTCTCATGGATGGCCTCGCTGCCTTGCCTTAATGAATAAATATTTCACAAAAATATACCTGAACTTTATCGAATATGACTGATATTGATAATTGCTATATTTAGTACAGTTTAATAAATTGTGAAAAAAACTTCACTGATATTGATTCAAATTGCAATTTTCAGTGTTTGACTGACATCAATTTCTATTATTGTGGTTACATATTAATTAAAAGGATGGTTAGAAAGAGTCGTGTGTTAAAGATAATTAAAATTACTAATAGGTAAAACTTGTTAGATATCGATCTTGTTGACAATTTAATTTTAAAATATTTAAAATTTATTGATTTTGAATATTGTGTGAACAACAATATACAATGTACTATACTCCATAGTCTACCAGTGGCCAAGCAATAAAACCATTGAACACTGGTAAACTCCACGTGGCTAGCCTGTTGGTTGCAAGTTTGCACCTGACCAACTGACTGACCATGTGGAGTCTTCTATGTATGTATAACACGTAAATAAGGGCCAGTTTTTCATAGAAAGTTCCTTGGGCAGATCATCAGTGTCACATTGCCTTATCAATCCAATTTAATTCATAACCTCATATTTAGCAACAATTTAACTTGGGTGTGTAGTGCCAAATATTTGTGTCTGTAAACACTGCTCGTGAAATAAACTTCAGCTTTTCCTTTAAGATAGAATATAATAGAAGACAGTAGATCTCTTACTCTAATGAAGTACTGTACAACTGTGGATTTTTAGATAAGAATGTTTCATCAATTTAAAAATTAATATGAGAAGAAAACTGTACAGTACATAGTGTTCGAATGTTAAATTCAATTACAGTTGTCCCTTGATAATCCGACAGGTATGGGACCAAAGGTGTGTCAGATTACCAAAAGTGTCCGGATTACCGAAAATAATTACATATTTCGCATTGTTTTGCTAGCAGTAACTTACAATATTCTCTACTCTAACTGTTCGAACAGAACTGCTCACATAAAACACACGAAATGTGTGTCATCGAGTAAGAATTGGATGGGGAGATTCATATCGCAACATGCTTCTGTGCAAGCAGACACGTAATGGGGACGGGTACCTTGACGGGAGTGCGTCGGACTACTGAGCATGTCAGATTAAAAAACATCGGACTATAGAGGGACAACTGTATTCAACTGGTGTATTTGATTATTTCTTCTGTCTCCTGTAAAAATCAACAGGATGAGCAAGAAAGACATGGAGCTATAATATTGGAGGGTCAGCCCCTGAGAATCAAGTGAAGCGGTATATGTGTGTGCAGGATGAAAGTCACCGTTTTGAACATGGAAGAGAAACAGTAAGCTCGTCGCTTAAAGTTATTTAATGAAGCATTTCTGCTTTTTATTTAAGATTTTTTTTTCTTTTTGATTAACTTGAAAGCTTTGGGTAAGTATTACTCATCTCTATGTGCATTAGAAAAACTTTAAAATTAACAATAGGAAATGAAATTTATAGTTAATAAGCAAGTCATGTTTTAAACTTCTTTTATTTAATGTACACGACACTATTTGTAATGAAGGCGGATGGTCGAGCGGTCAAGTTGGCAGCCTGCCATTCTGGAGGACCCAGGTTCAAATCCAGATGGGTCAATTCACTTTTTAAATGAATGTGTTGTGGTCAATCAGGTGGACCTGTTATCTTCCAACAACAGTATTCAAGAATACAAATGGTCTTCTCATAGTTTTATGGAAGAAGCTGTCTGGATACCCAGGAAAAGGAACAATTGAAGTCGCATAATTGACCCTTACTATATACCAGGGGTGGCCAACCTGCGGCTCGCAAGCCACATGCGGCTCTTCAAAGGATTATTTGTGGCTCTCGATAAATGTACTGTACCCAAGTTCCCTTTTTATTTTTGTGTTGTTATATTTTAAAAAATTATTATCGTCCGTATGTGTTTCAAAATGTCTTTTAAATTACTAACAACAAATATGAAAGATTAAGTGCAACGTTGTAACAAATTTCATTTCCGTCCAAGTTAAGAATGATATGACTCATCGAAAACTGCGCAAACGAACATAAACAGTGGCGTAATCGTCTGTTATCGACCGACTCCAGACCGATTTTGAATTTGTAAACTGTCATTGCAATGGACACTTGACATTGTGCTCTGGAGGAAACAATTTGTATCACTCTTGCTACGGATATATTTTGTAATTGGAATTTTTTGCATACCTTTAATTTAATTGCGGCTCGCAAAAAATTTCTAATTTTGAAAAATGGCTTGGACTATCAAGGAGCATGGCCACCCCTGCTATATACTGTACAGTACTGTACATATTGTTTGTTAAAAAGGGCCTTATATTACGTGTTCTGTCTGATTTTCACAAGTAATCATTTTATATAATGTACAAATGTGATTTTAAGTTGTTAAACTGTTTTATTGCCATATTTCTTTCCTTCACAATATGGCAATTTGTTCTACAGTAAAGCCATTTTCTGGCTTCAAGTGCACTGCTAGTAGCAACAGAGCATAAGGCTGGATGGCAGAGCAGTCAAGATGGCAGCCTAATGCTCTGGGAGACCCAGGTTTGAATCCAGATGGGTCGAAAAATCCCCAAAAAATTTTTGAGGGTGGTCTGTCTGTATATGTTGGCTGCCCCAATGTGGGTCTGGCTGAACCCTTGCTAAAAAGAGGCCCTCTTAGTGCCCACAGGGCGGAAAGAATTGAGAAAAAAAAAATGGAACAAGAAACAAGGGGCTGTTATCCGACATTTTTTACTGAAGAACAAATTTCACCTTTTCGTGAATGTTTTTTAGAAATTTTTCCAGTTTTCAGCTTTTGTTACAAATTGTAACAAAATATCGTATTTTGCGGCATATAAGACACCCTCATTAAATGTAGAATGTTTAGTAAAATAAGTACTGTACTTAGTGTATTCCGGCCACCCGTGCCTTTGATATTCGAATCCTCCCCTTTTTTACTGTACTACGGTTTTAGAAAGTAAAATTAGAATGCATACTTTTATTTATAAAAAGGGGAATTTTAAAAGAAGTTAGTTACGATCTGTTTTTTTTTTTTTTTTTTTACTCTTTCCGCCCTGTGGGCACTAAGATGGCCTCTTTTTAGCGAGCCCGTTATAGGTTCGGCCAGGCTCACAATGGGATGGCCGGGTGGTGAGGGACGTTGCCCGACATTCGTACGGACCACCCCCGATTTATCGATCCGCCCGGGTCCTCCAGAGCGGTAGGCCGCCATCTCGATCGCTCGGCAATCCGGCCGACGACAAGGCAACAATCGCCAATGATTAACTAATAAAAATATTTCGATTTTTCAAACTAAACATATATTAATTAAAATATTTATTAATATTAAATTTATTATTGTTTTAATTTTGACTATTATATATTTTTAATTAAAAACAAAAATAATAACCGACGAAAATAGTTCAGTGCTGCCATCTGTCAACAGTACAGATTAGATAAGATTAATCTTTATGTTGATTTATTACAAATCGAATATTCAGTAACTTCATGCGCTATAAATAAGAAATATTTCGACCTGTCAGCAAAATGGGAAACTCTATAAAGCCGCAAATTCAAAATGCAGAGAAAACAGGAGTATGTCAGCTGTGTAACTGCGATCTTTCGGAAGTGAGTATCGCCTAGATTCTATATAAATATACTTAATATGACGTTGTATTAATTGCGTGTAGTTATAGTTTCCCAGAGATCTGTTTTCATTGAAGACATTAAGGACCCTTGACATTTCTGGCAACAAGATATCCACTATACCTTCCAATGTCGGTTTGTTTGTGCATTTGAAGCATCTTACTGCAAATAATAATAAGATATGTAAGTACTGATTTTTGATTTTATACAAATAATCTTCCTGACATTTCTATTAAACATATTTTTATACAACTTATCCTTAGTCATTAGTTATTAAATGCACATGGCTATATACAATAGTGATCTCAGAAATCTTTAGCGGGGTATAGGAAATAAACAATACGTCGCCTTACAAAATATTTTCTAGGAAAAAAGCCCTCGGAAGGGGGATGCGCCTCCCAAACTGTCTCCGGATATGCGTAGCCGAAACAATAACACGATTCGGGTTTACTTACTATTTAAATGCTATATTGCCGGTAATCTTCGATTCGATACGTTTATGTATAATAAGTATCTGTGTAGACGTTTTACAATTAAAAAATTCATTTGTGTTTAGATTTATTTTATACACGATTTTTTTATTTTTAATATGTCAATGTATATAATCAATGTTTTTCAGAGATTTGAATATATTAAAGCAATAAAAATAATAAATAAAATATATTAAATTTAATTTTTGTGATTTTTCTGCTCATTTGATTCTAAAGCTTGATAAAATATAAAGCACAATTAGTTTTTATTTTCCTGGCTGTTATGTATATGTAACAAAGGAAAGTATTGGAATCGTGTCAAATTTAACCCTCCGAGTTTTTTTCAAATCTCTACGTTTTAAGACCTGCTTCCAAAAATGTCAAAGAAATAGCAAAAGAATTCCATCTGTTGGTGTCTATTTCATTTAATATCTCAGGATGAGGTAAAGATTAAGAAAGAAAATGTGGCATGGTAGCTTGTAGCCTATATAAGGGGTATCGATGCTATTAAATTTTGGTGGTTAAAGGTTGAGGGGGTGGGAATATAGAGGGGTGTTGTGTCATATCTCAAAAGGTTGGACTTAATGAAAATTTTGCTTATTATTGGCATTTACAATTTTTTTTATAAAACTCATCTATAACTGCAAAATTAAGCATTTTGCCATTTCATAATAATTAAAAATATAAAAGGTTTTCCATAACAATCTCATAACAGATAGAATCACACAATTTTGTTTATTATAATTAAAACTATACTGTAAAAGTTATTTTTTAACAGCCAGAAACACAACTTGTTGCTGGATTTTTTAAGCACAGTAAAATTTTATAAGATAGAATATAATTAATTTAATAAACTTCAAGCTTTAGTTCAAAATATCATAAAAACATATTTGTGATTTGATGAGTGCTATTTTATACTTGTCTTTCCAATTATTTAAAATATGACTTTTTATTTGATATATCTAGTCACTTACACAATATATGTTTACTATACAAAACACAATTCTCTGTTAGTGGTTTCCAAACTGTATGTACATTTATAGAAATATATGTATGAATATGGGGAGTGCTGCCAAATGACAGCAAGTTAAAGGAGCAGAATCACAAAAGTTTGGAAACCACTGACTTAAAAGAAATGTCAATTATATTTGATACACTATTTTATTTTAAATCTAAATTTTTGAGATTCTAATTTTGCATTTAAATGAAAAAATATTCATATTTTTATTGTATTTTGAACTCTTTTGAAATATGATTGTTTTCACTCATCTAAATTTTTTTGTAAGAGTTCATTATTTGATAGTTGCTTATATATTTTGATTTATTTTCTTTCATCCACAAATTATTTCTTTGCATTTTGCATAAAGTTTTAATGGAAATTTGTTCATTTTCTATTTATTAGTAAACAATGAGAAATTAAATTTATCCATAAAATTACCAATAATTTTTCTCTATTTTTTATAAATAAAAAAATTAGTGCTATAAAGCACTTATTCTTTTATTTTTCAAAATATCTTCATACTTGTTTAATGATTGCAATGTATATCCATTTTCTGGAAATATAAAATTTAGAATGTTTTTATTCATACATTCATCAATTTCAAATAAATATATGGAGAAAAATTAAAATATGTAATATGTAACAAAAAATGTGAATGACATCAAAGTCATTCACATTTTTTACTGCAAGATGTTTGAATAAATTATTTTATAAAATATTAGCTTAATCTTTTAATCTCAAAACATTATTAAACAAAGTATTAAGTCATTGTTTTCTTGACTGAGTTAATAGTTTAAATGTTTTTAGATAATTTAGAATTATAACTGAAGATTTAGTTGATTTGATGGTTTTCAAATCAACTAACTACTCAGTTAAATAGATTGGTGTGGGCAGATATTAGAAAAGTAAATATTTCAAGTGTCGAAACATCATTATTATTATTTAATTATATACTATTTCATATTTAATATTTTATTATTTATATCATTATTGAAATGAAATGTATCAAAGCTGTTAATGCTTTTTATATTTTTGAATTTAATACTTATAAGTTATTTAATATGAAATTTAATTTAACAAAATGGGATATTTTGAAAATCTGTTAAAAGTTAATGATATTTTAATGTTTTATCAACTTGGTATCTGTGAGGTTACAAGTAATTATTATTTGTTAATAAGCATTCAGTTTTGTTAAAATTACTTGAATTTATAAGAAATGTGAAAATAAAATTCTGTTTAGTCTAATATTTTATTTGACAAGTCTTTCTTGCTTGTCAGACAACTATTTATGTACTATACCTGTACAGTCAGTGTGATCCCTATATATGAGGATTTATACAATGAGTGTTAACCAATATTCACAAGAATAAAATATTATAATCATAGGTGCAACAAGGTTCCAGTTGAATGGCTCTTAGGTTCAGTCTATTCTTTTGTTTTATTCACTGTATGTTTTTGTTAACAAGGAATAGTGCTATTCATTCCAATGCTGTGCAGTTTAGTGAACTTTGTTTTACATTACAAATTCTTCTGTCAGTGATTACAATAATTCATAAAATAACTGCTTCAGTAAATTACTCAGTCAACTTCATATAACCTTTTACAACAGCAAAAATGTTTATTAAACATTTAAAGTAATGTTTTTGGTCAAAGCTGTTACACTCCATTGTTCCAATGTAATGATTTCGGCCATCTGTTACACTCCAATGACCAAAAACTAACATTTTTGGTCATGGAGTGTAACAGATTGTAAGATTTTTTATCTTTTAGTTTTTGTATTTTAAACTTTGTTTGGCATTCCAATGTTTTTTGTTCTATTTTCCGTTAGCTTTTATAAAATGATTACAATTTTATTAATTGACATCTGGATAATCAAGGCAATAAAAGTGTCATCTTGCTTCTTTGGAGACCCTGAATTTGAGTCTCTGTTAGGAATCTCAGGAATTTTTCATGGGTAGTATGTACCAGATTTGTCAGGTCTCATCCCTCACCACCTGGCTGCTTCATTGTGATTCTGGCCAAATCCATGATGGACATGGATAAAGACACTCTTAGTTCCTACAGGACAAAAATAGTTAAAAATTAAAAAGAAATTTTGTTATAATGAGACATGCTTATATACTATTGCAATTTTTCCTGAAACCATTAAGTACAGTACATATGTACATAAATCTTGACTTTAGTTCTCTCATATTCATTTTCCGTATATTTGGTCTGTGGTCTCTGTATAATTGATATTATAAGATGTTCCTAATTGAGTTTGTATCTTGAAACATGATAAATTTTAGCTAATTATCTCTGTCTATATGATGTTCTTTCAGAGAACTTTAACAATTAAGACATTTGATGTGATAATTGCCCTAGTAAGCTATAAAGTCATTGCTCTTTTTATTGTTATAAAGTGAATTTTGATGACTAAAAATAATTATATACATTTAAAATGATAGTTTTAGCTTAACTGTGCAATGTTTTGTTTTGTTTTATTTACAAGCAACAACATTAATTTCTATCATTTTGATTACAGAATTAAAACTAAAGATGATATTATTATAGTTTTAATTTATTTGCTTTGCTTTTTAAATTGTATAGTATAGAAATTTGTTTTACAATAAAGTTGCATTCAAGATTTAATCTTAGGGGGAGCAGAGTTGAATGATAAAAAAATTTTAATACAAATTCAATAAAATATTTTGTGACTGCAAATTCATAAGTAGTATAGAAATAAAAACATGACACAATATAAATGAAAAATTAATTTTAATTAGGAAAATATTTCTGAAAAATTTTCTAGTTTATTATTATTATTATTTTTTCTTTTGCACCCAGAGAGGAGGCCAGGTCCTTTGGTACCACTGGTAACATTCATATACCATTTAATTACATGTACTAGCTATAAATTTTTATCTTAAGAAAAACTTGTTTCTATTTGGGATTTTGATTTGCATTAGTTTTTTATGAACAAGGTATCTTTGTAAATTGATGTTACAGTGTATAAGATTGAATATAAATATATAGACAATCTCTGTTTTATATCATTTTACACAAAAGTCAATTGCAATATGACACATTAATTTATTCTATTGTTTTCATTGTCCTCTTATTTTTTGCATTAATGAGTTTCATCATCCTGAATTTTCTGTTATGATTAAAATATACAGTATATATTTGTACTGTACATTTGAATCATTAATGTATAAATATATTCACTTGACACTTATCTAAACATGTACATTTTATTTTTTATCTTTGATATCTGTTTGCAATACATGTTTAAATTATTCGATTCTTTGACATCCCATTTAATAATTTGGACTTATTGATTCCATAGAGTAAAAATAGAGTGGAGTATAATCAGGTGATAGTTGTTTTGTTTTCTACAGGTTACCTACAGGTGGATAGTAATACCATACTGGGTAAAAAGACCTTAGTAGACATAGATCAAAAATTCAATTTCTGAGATAAATAATCTAAAAAGGATCTGGAATTTTTGAGTTTGCAATTCTGTAAGAACAACATACCTAACATGCATGGAAATTGAAAGAGAACATGTAGAATATATCAAAGCAAATAGAGGACTAAATATCTAGGTAAAGATTATCTTGTCTTTTCACATTTGCATGTGACACGTATAAACCAGTAAGTCAAATCATGATATTAACATGTAAAATTGTAAATACTTAATAATTTTGTCATTTTTACTCAGTATGTTGTGT